TGAAGGATGCCATTGTGCCTGTCCCTGTGGGAGTGCCAGTGCCTTATCTTCATGCACTCCTCGCCTGGACTCCACTTGAATGCTGGTGCCTTCTTCTTCGAGCATTTGGTTATGAAAAGATGTATTTTCCTGGACCTCTTCTAATAAACCAGTGGAGAAAGCCCTGGAGGGAGGTGGCTGTGTCCCCATCTCTGTCCCAGCACAAGAGAGGGGTCTGCCATGGAGAGAGGATTTGGGGATCCCTGGCTGGACCTCTGGGACTGTCTCATCCTTGGCTGAGCATCATCTCATCGCTGCTGGCTCAGCCCTGTGCCCACCTGAGCTCCTGCAAGAGTCCCCATGCTCCCTCATTAATGAGCGTTAATTAACCCCCTGGCTGTCAGCACTGGAAGCTGGAGGGTGGAGCATTTCCTGCTGGTGATGGGTTTTAGATGGATTTTCGGCATGTGGGTTAACCCCCTCCCGGGGTGGGAGCAGAATGGGGGTTGATGTCCTACCTCAGGGTCCTTCCTTGGTTGGGGCTTAGGAAATCCCCCCACCCCTCAGCTGTCCCCAGGGCTGTACCCCTGGGTTCTGTCTGGGGCTGAGCTGGTCCTGTGTAGCCTGGAGCACCCTGTTTGGGCTCCCCTTCCTTCTTCACTGCCTTGCCATGGGAGACCTCCCCCCCCCCCCCAGCCAACACAGACACCCCTATCCCCCCCAAAAAACAACACTGACAAAGTGCCCATTCTGATTTCACTCTCTTTATTATTTATCATTCTTTCAAAATAGGATATGTTCAAAAATATAAATAGGTGCAGGGAACGCTGGTGCCCCGCACGGTCCCCTGGAAAGAGCACGTTGAGCATGTGGGAAACAGCAAGGGGCTGCAGCCAAAAAAAAATAAAAACCCCAAAAGGTGCTGTTCACCCTGGAGATTAAATAACAGAAATAATTACATTGTTCGTGGATAAAATCAGGAAAAAATAGTCATCTTTATTATTTAACTTAACCCCCTGCCCTCTGCAAACCCACCCCCCTCCCTGTCCCCGAAGGCACGAAGATAATTGGAACCGGACGGTTAGTAAAAATGCTGAGATCTAATTTGCTTTGCTTTGGTGCTTGGAAAAAAAACATTAATTTTTTTTTTATATATATACACAAAGGTGGGTTTGTCTTTAATATAATTTTTTTTTCCTTATATGACAAAAAAGCAACAAGAAGAAGAAGAAATTGACTCTGTTAATATAACTGTTCCGTTAAAAATCTCTTTCTCTCTCTCGCTTTTCCCCTCGGTCTCTCTGGCCCCACTCTAATGGGTGGGTCTGTGCACAGCTCTGCCGCTGGGTCTCGACCGGCTCCTGGGGCTCCTCTTGTATAGCCTGCGCTGGTAGTTGGAGGCTGCGGGAGAGGGAGAAGAAAAGGCACCTTGTTAACAGGAGCTGGGACAGAGATGCTGCTTGTCCCGTTTTGGCCGTCCCAGCCCTTGGCTCCCTGGAAAAACACAGGTAGCCGCAGGCGGTGCTGCCTGGTGGGTGGCTGCATGTGCCCCAGCGCCAGCCTGCTCACCCGCATACAATCAGCCCTTCTGTCGCCCCTGCAGCTGGGGTTTGCCTCACCCAGGGGGGAAGGTGCTTGGTGCCTCCCTGCAGCCTGGGCAGAAGCATCCTCTCTGCGGATGCTTGTTCCATCCCTCCCCTGTGCCCAGCCGGGAGGGCAGCTCTGCTAATGGGGTGGGGATGGGGAACACTTCCCCATCTCCCCCATTGCCCTACCAGTCCTTCCCTGATCCCCTGGGACAGGGAAGGAAGTATCCATCAGTGGTGGGATGTGCTCAGGGCACAGGAGGGGAAACAGCCTCGGCTGGCTGGCAGGGATGAGGTTTCTGCCTGATCTGTGCTGCTAGTCTTCCCTGAAGCTGGCACCTCTCCGGTGCAATAATTGTAGGAGGGTTTTGATGGAAAAGGCAAAAGCTGGTTGGGAAGAGCCTGGGTCTCCTGTTCTAATCACTGATGGTCCATGCTGGGAGCAGCCTGCAGCTCTCCGGGTCCGCGGCAGAGCCAAGGGAGTCAGCACCTTAGTCCACAGCACGCAGACATCTCCTCCATCCCTCCTCCTTCCATCCCCTCCCTGGGGCAGAGGTTTGTCCCTTAAGCCCATATCACCTTTCCTGGCTCTGGGACCAGTGCTTTAGCTGGAATTGCCCAGCTAGACCTGAACCTGGCAAGAAGGCCACTAGACAGATGTGATTTGGCCGAGGCCAACAAAATTATTGGGAAGCAGCAGGCGAGCAGGGATGGGACAGGGGTGTAGGCAGGCCTGGGAGTGGGCTGGGACACCAGTGGGAGGGGGCTGGCTGCTGTCAGCTGGAGCCCTGACAGGAGAAGGGTCAGGAGCCCAGCCCTGTCCCTTGGCTTAGCTATCCTGCAAGGCTCCTGCCCACTCCCACACTCCCAGGGCAGGGGGATTCTGGGGAGGGCTCAGGGGGACTACAGCTCCCCCCTCCTATTCTCTCTGCCAATGCAGGTGGTGCCAAAACTCACCCTTTCAGAAGCCATTTCTTTTTCTTTCATTTTTTTAAGTAGCCTGGGCTCTTGGTAAGCTCCTTGTTGCCCTTTACTGGCTCTGGAGCTGCCCTTGCCCTAGAAGTTGCCCAGGATGCCCCTCCAGCCAGCCTCCGTGCCCAGAAGATGCCAGCTCCCATGGCCCCATCATGGGGGAGCTTTCAGCAAGTCAAGGGACCATGATGTCCCCTTCTGCCTGGCTCGGAGCTAACCTGCACCCTAAGGCTATGCCCCTGCATTCCCAGCCCCTTCTCCCAGCTGCAGGCATGCATTGGCACGGGCCAAGACGTACGGTTTGTGCAGGATATCCGCGGTTCCTCCCATTGCCCGTTGGGCTGGCACCGAATTGTGGGCACGTGGCGCTGGATGTAGCCTTGGTTGCACTGGTACCGCACCATGGAGTTTATTTCATAGCGGTCCTTCTTCTGGCCAAAGGTCCTGGCGTTCTCCACCATGGGGGGGTCCCCACAGGCTACTGCAGGAGGTAGGCAGAAACATGGAGAGCTCAAGGAGGCAGCTCACACCTGGGCATCTCCTGGCTGCCTGAGGTACGCTGGGCGCACACAGCCTTGTCACCCTGCTTGTCCCCCACCCCATCCTGTGGGGTCTCCAAGTGCTGGAGAAAGAGAGTGATCGGTGGCTGCTTGAAAGTGGCCACTTCTGGACTGGGAAGAGTCAGCCGTGTCCACAGCCACCCTTGCCTGGTTGTGAGATGCCATGAGAGCAATGCCCTCCCCTGCTATTCCCCCCTTGCAATAACATCTCTGATCTAGAAGGTGTCTGGGTCACTTGAGCCTGCTGGACCTTTTTTTTGCTACATACACAGAGGGGATGTTTCCTTTGTTTGGGGGGGGAAAAGATAGAGGCAGTACAAAAAAGGGACAGTTGCTGAAAAAGTTCATAAAACTTTAAATCCCTTTGAGATTGCCTCTGTCCACAAAAATTAGGGGCAGGGGGATATGGAAATTCTGTGATGTGCCTTAAAATTAAGCAGCGGTCTGCCTCAGGGCTCCATTCCTGCCTCCCGGAGAAGCAGTGAGAGCTGGACATCGCAACAGCCACTTGTGTCTGTGGGAGGGCACGGAGCTGGTGTGTGGAGGTGATGGCTCTGCTTAGGGACATGAAACCCTGTCACTGGCTCCAGCCCCACAGCTGCCGCCTGAGCCCCCCATCCTTGCAGTGGGGCACAGGGTGCTGACCTGTTCCTTTCTTGCAGGTGAAAGGGAGGTGATAGTTGCAGGGGACGTCGTTCCATTCGCCTTGCTCATGCCAGATCATCACGACGCAGTCTTCACCCACCGTGAAGAAGTTATCAGGTTGGTTGGGCCGCCAGTTCTCAAATTGCTGCCGAGAGAGGAAAGCTCTTCACCTAAGGCTAAGCCCTCCCCTCTCCTACTCCCTCCTTCATCCTCGCTGCTGCCTCCCTCATGCGTCTCACCAGCAGAGACTGTGGGTTGCCAGCGCTGCTACTACAGTGGTTATTTCTATCATGATGGTGCCCAGCAGCTTAGCTGAGCAGGCTTGGAAAAACCATGAGCCCTGCAAAGTTCAGGGCTACCTCCACTCAACACCCAACCCAAGCACTCAGCATAGAACTCATGGGGCTCTTCCTGCCCGGCAGGAACCTCTTCCCTCCCAATGAAGGCTAATTAGCACCCGCCTGTGTTGCAGGCTCACCAAGGAGTGCCCGTCGGACCAGCGGAAGTCATTCTCCACGGCTCTGTCGCTGAGGCCGATCCACTGGTAGTCTTGCGCGTGGCCTGGAAGAGCAGGATGGAGAGAAAAGAGTGGGTCATTGTTCCCCTACACCTTCTTGGAAGTGTTTCTTTGCCATCTCAGTTGCCTCTGGCCCTGGAGTCTCTGGGTCATAGAGTCGTAGAATGGTTTGGGTTGGAAAGGACCTTAAAGGTCATCAAGTTCCAACCCCCCTGCCATGGGCAGGAACACTCTCCACTAGACCAGGTTGCTCAAAGCCTCATCCAGCCTGGCCTTGAATACCTCCAGGGATGGGGCATTTGGCTCCTTCCCAGTCACTAGCCCCTGATGTCCCTTGTTCCCCACATTGTGCTTGTCCGTCTCCCTCCCCACTCAGTGTGCCATGAGCATGGATCCACCGTTGATGTCTGCGCTTGTAATATCAAGCAAACATCTTGTGAAGAAGCCACATCAGCAACATGGTAAGAGCAAAGATCTGTCCTAGCAGAGAAAGGGCCCTCTTCTGTCTCACAGCTGGATGGTTTTCCCTCTCACAAGCAAGGGTGAGGTCTCATTAGGAAATATCTGAGCACCAGCAGGGGAAATTGTGGTTTTTATGTCTTTTTGGATAAATCTGCCCATAGTCTCAGAGTCCAACAAATGGACCCCTGCCCAGTCTCAAGCTGCCCTCCGAACTCACTGTTCACAAATTCTTGCTCCTCTGGGGTGATGATACTGCTCAAGTGGGCTTGATATTGTCGGCATCTGGTCTCTGCATCCATCCAAGTCTCCCTCTCTTCAAAGTGCTTGTAACAGTGGCCCTGGAACTTGGTCCAGCCTTCCTCACAGTTTTCCAGGTCTGAAATACACAAAGGAAGGATGAAAAGGAATTGGTGCATGGGTCTGGAAGCCTTCCAACTCACCTCTTAGCAGCTCATGCTCTCATGGCATGGGACAACACATAGTCACTTCCACTAAAAAGCAAACCCTGACACTGCTGCCTGTGGGAAATCACAGGAAAAATGATCAGAAGGCATCCAACACATGGGCAGAAAGGGGACCCTGTGCTGAAGATCCCATGTTTGCAGTAACATGACCAGTGCTACGAGAAAGCTTGAGTGATACAAACTCGTTCCTGAGCAATTCAATTCCTCTGTCATGTTCCTGGACTCTGTTTTTGAGGAACTGACCATTGAACAGCCGCTCTCTTCCCACTTGTGCCGGACTGCAGAGTTTTCTTGCTTTGGAAAGAAACTCCAAAACCTGAAACCAGATGCCCAGAATCAACATGTATGTGTTGAAAAGGAAAGAGGAGAGCCCAGGTTCAGGTGGTCACATTGCCTGGTGAGGTTCTGGGGCTCTGGAGGATAAGCAAGCTCATAGAAGTGTGAGAAAGGAGGTGGGGGCAGTAACTTACCATGATGGAGAGAGAAAGTGAAATCTCAAGCAAAAAAACTTGGAAGCTGCTAGAAAAGTAGAAAAATTTCTCAGCTTTTCAGAACATCTTTTACCATCTGAGAAACACTGAAGAGTTGAAACTGTTAATGACAAAAAATGAAACTACAGGTAGGGAAAACAGAGTTGAATGGAGAAACCACCAGAACAGGCCTTCAGCAGCTCCCATGCAGTGCAACACCACACACCTGCTCCATGTGACTGCAGGAAACAGCAAATTAAATGTATTCAACCTCAGCCTTTCAGATAGCTGATCTACCACCGTTCCTTAGGTGCTTGCTGCTCTTGGGGTGGTGGGCTTCCATGAGTCCTCAAGCCTCTCTTCCAGTAAGGTTTTCTGTACTCAGTTTCTTTCTTCTGTAGTTAAACTTGGTAGGTCAAAGCCCTTGTCACCTTCAATCACAATAATTCCTCCTAATCCACCCTTCTGGTGTTCTCTGCAGATGCTTTGTAAATGTTGGAAGGGTTGCTAGTTGAGGCATTACAGTTTTCTGCCTTCTTCAACAGATCAAACGGATTATCTGGAAGTAGATGAAGCTCTAAGGATTCTTGCTCTTTGCAGGCAGATCTCCTCCACAAGGTGAGCAGAGGACACACTCTGTCTTTTGAGATTTAGGACTTTTTTCCAGCAGCTTGAATGCCACCCCTTGTCATCACAGCCTGGGGATGGGACAGCACATGTCACAGAACCTCAGCAGCACATTTCCTAAGAGAAAGGCCTCTCCTTCCTACATAGCTGTTACTTATGGGGAAATATGACAGCAATCATCTTGGAAAAGAATGACAAAAAAGCTTGTTCCCTGGTAGGGACGCTGTTGTGGTGACAAAGACTGGCTGTGTGCAGACACCAGAGCTCACCTAAGGCATCCTGCTGTTCTTGGAGACCAATGGATGTTAGAGAAAGGAAGTTTTCCTCATGATAATAATGAAGATTTACACTCACATCTGAATTCAGGGCACTGGCTTCGTCTCGCCTCTCCCAGACTGTGGCCCCCAGGCATCATGAGCCCATAAATCACAGAAGAGAGGAAATGAAGTCTGGCCGGGACCAAACAAGATTGTAAGCAGCCAAAGGGCAGAAAGTCTCTTGTTCTATTGCAGGGATCTTCAACAAGAGGTAGCAGGGATGGGTAAATCAGGGGTTGATTAGGTTGCATGAGGAAAGTGACGTTAAGACGGATGGCCCAGTGACCCAGAGCCTTCTTCTTATGGTCTGCTCCACATGTTCATAATGGAAACAGAAAGAAAAATGCAGAGAAAGGGGAAGAGAAAGTCCAATTCGCATATTGTTGCTTGTGCCAAGGTGAAGAAGACACTGCAACCTTATTCCTCTTTTGTTTGAGCAAGGCAGGAGAGCTTCCTCTCAGCTAAGCTGATAAAAGTTTGGACTTTCATCAGCTTTAAGAAAAAAAAACATCCTTTTTTTCTTTCCTTGTAGAAACAAAAAGAAGTATTGGTGCAGGTCATAGTACCTAATTTTGATGGAAAAATAGGTGACTTCATGTTTTCTTGAAGATACACATTCCCTGCTGATTTTGCCACAGGAAGCCACATTGAAGAGATGACAAAAATGTCGTGCTGTGTCAAATCAGTGGAGATTCCTGGAGTGAACGAGGCTTCTCTCAGCTGCATCTTCACAGAGAGAAACACAATCATTTTTCATGGCTCAGCTGAAGCATCCTTCCATGAAATTCCAGTCTAGCAGAGAAAGTTTGCCTGGGGTGAAGATGTACTCAGATGCTTCCCTACTGTTAGAGATGAACAGAAAGACTCTTGACCCAAAGAGACAGTGACTTCTGTGAGCAACCCTGTTACAACCTCTATGGAGCTTCACCAGAGAAACTTAACAAAAAAGAGAAAGCTGAAGAAGACACCAGAAGCTCCTGCTTAGGAGTCTTAGAGGACATGGTGCTGTGATGAACAAAGTAATCAAAATACATAAGCAAAAGTCTCAAAGCTTTTCCCTAGTGTATTTTAAGCTGCTGTTAGATGTTAGCTTACTGAGATGAGGGTAGGACTGATGGGAGCACTTGGGCTCAGCCTTTTTTGGGAGGTAGGGTGCGAAGGAGGTCGTGCAGCAGTTAGTAAGATTAGCTGAAGCCAGGTAGGCCGTACCGATCTCGCACAGGTCCCCTCCGTAGCTGGGAAGGCATAAGCATTTGAAAGAGTCGATGCCATCAACGCAGGTAGCTCCATTCAGACAGGGGCTTGAGTGGCACTCATCAGTGTCTGCAAGAAATGAAGGGCTTCCATTAGGGCTCTGGGCAGACAACTCCTCCAACAGGAGAACTTGTTTCCTTGTTTGTTTAGGAGGGAATATCAGTTGTTATGGGGGAACCTGGTAGCTGCTAGGGTCTTATTTTAAAACATACAGCCACTGCTGCTGCTGGAAGAAGGAAGGCAAGAGACTGAACCCACCCTACAAGGAAGATACTGCTTTTCTGTCACTTGGTGGTTGAACACCACTCTGAAGATACCAGCACAAGCTCAGCAAGATGTATCCGATACACAGCACTCAGTGTCTTTGGCAGCTGTAGTAACTTTTCCTTCTCTACTGTCTCTGCCTGGTGGATCAAACATGCAAACTTGTGTCTGTGTCTCCACCAGCTATGGGTCTACAAGGAAGAAGGTACAATTCTTGTAAGTGATGGAAATGTCCTGAAATAGATCTCTAGCTCACTCACTGGCCTTCCTGTGGCCAGTGCTCACTACCAATTTCCAATTTCAGATGAAGTCTTGTGGCAGTGAAGATGAAGAAAGTGCAGAGAAGAAAAGAAGTGGGTTCAAAGGTGGTTCAGAGACCCTCAACTTCTTCCCTTTGAGGATCTTAGGCCGAGCTATGGGTGCCTCTTCCTTGGTGAAGAATACTGGAGTGCAGTGCCATTTTCTCCAGACCTGTCCCCACTATGCTCTCTCTTGCTTGTGATGGGGCTGAAAGAAGTTGTATGTCTTTTCCAGTTGTGGATTCCTTCTTGGTGGAGGAAACTACTCTTAATTTCCCACCTAGAGCAGCCCTTAAGATTCTTTCTGCTTTTCCAGGGTGAAAAGAGAAATTAGGATGGGAAAAGTTTGTTTCTCAACTTGCTAATTAGCACACACCTGGGTAGCACTTCCATCTCCTGTCATCTTGGGGCAGAGGGAAGGAAGCATGGATGCTCTGAAGAAGGCCACAAGTTGCCAGTTTGTATCTACGTATCGTAAAATCTAGCTTGTGCTGGAAGTAAAGCTCTTCTCCCAGTATCTCTCCAGACTGAGCCTTAATCCTACTTATGAGCTTCGGAATCAGAAAAAAAATAATTCAGAATGGAAAGATTTTAGAGACATTCAACTCAAGAAACAAGGAAGAAGACTAAGGAAGAAAGTGGGAACACATCCATGCAGGTTAGGTTAAGTGATGACTGGTTAGATCCTCATGCGAGATGTTTCTCTCTCACACATTCAGAAGAAATGTAAGACTTCGAAAGTGCTGACTAGCACTCCATGCTCTTCTTGTGGATGCGAGGGGTTAGTGAAGAAACATTCAAAGATGATAAACATGCTGGCTACGGAAACATGAGAGCAGAGCAGTAACTCCTCAAGATCTGTGCTTGTCTTCTGATTGGGTATATTCAGTTGGACAGTGTCCCTGCAGAACCGTGGCCCAGATGCTCAGTGTCCCCAGACGTATGAGGACAGAAGCATGTTTTACCCCATGTGGCTGTCAAGTTGCTTGGTGGCCAATGTCTGATATGTCAACTAAAAGTTGACATGTTCTGTAACATGCCTAAGTGATGGAAAGAATTCTTCCTGACCTTGGATGGTAAATCAGTTTGTGCTTTGGAGCATGAAGGTTGTCATCTTTATTCTAGGCTGTATCACTGTGAGCAATGCCATTATTCCTCAGATGGCCGATGAGCCTTTTACACCAATTTTGCAGTTAGTTCTTCACTGATGGGAGGATATTTTTTCCTCTGAATTGTCCTTCTGAATACTTGTGAATGCTTTCTGGATTTCTTTGTTCGCTGCAACATGAAGAGAATTGGCGATCCTGTTTCCATGACACTAATAAATACTTTCCAGAACAAAGTGGGGGTTATGGGCTTCACAGAAGTGAAGAGTTGAACTTGGCTGGCTATTGCTTATTAGTCACACTTGGAGTTCCTAGAAGATAGAGAGCATAAAGGAAAATGAAGTATCCTGAGGGATGATTACAGCTCTAGAGGCCACTTGGGCTTCCCAACAGCAGCGGCAGCAGAAGTGCGTGTTGATTGCAGTGGGCTCCAGCTGAACAAGTAAGGAAAGGCTCTTTGTCTGTTAGGATCCATGAAGTGGAAATCACACTTTAGAAGTGGGAACAAAGCACATACGAGAGCTAAAGCAGAACATTTAGCAGGGAATAGCAAGTCTTCAGTCATCTTCAGCAATGTGGACTAAAACTTGGCATCTCCAAGATCTCTTCTGAGATGCAGGACACCCACGGTGAGCTGCCATCCCTGGTCTTGGAGGAGGTGGGAGCAGGCACATGTGCAAATTCATTGCCACGAATTTCCAGTTGGGAAATAACACTGAAATAGAATTGCCTTTTACAGATACTGTATATAATATGATTGCACATATTATATATGCTGTAAAAACAAATCTCTGCATATAATATATATGTTATATATCTCTCCATACATATACATATATATTTTTATATATGACACACAGAGAAAGAGGTTGTACTTGTAGGTATTGGAAAAACAGACAACAAATACAAGTGAGACACAGACAGGTTTGTTTTTCTTTTTTTTTTTTTTCCCCAGAAGTGTGCTGCAAATGGCTGGAGAGAAGATGTTGTAAGCACATGATGATCATAAATACCAAACTCCCCCTTCAGCCCATTGGGCTGTTGGGGCAGTGACCCTATGCCCATCTGGATGTAGAATCACTTCATCAAGCTGGTGTCAGGAAACTCAAACATTCCAGCTGGGTTGGAATAAATGTTGCTGGTTCTGGTCTTCCTGGAAAATCTAGGTCTTGGAGATCTTTTTGAAAACTAAGTTCTAAATGGTAAAATTGTCAGTGATGATGTCTCTGAAAACCCTGGCAAGCTGGTTTGTGGGTGTTTCTACGATATCACATCAAAGCCACAGGATTTACAGGAGTGAGAACCCCAGCAAAAAAAAAAAAAAAATCTCATCACGCAACGCTTGGCTATTTTCTTCATAACCTTTTATATACCATAAATGGATCCATTTCCACAGAGTTAAGAACTAGATGGGTTAGTAAATCACTGCACACCTCTTCAGGGAGCTGAAAAGCCTGTGGCACGCCGGGTGTGCCAGCTCTGCTCAGCACGGAGCCAGCCCCCGCTGCCACAGCACCGCCTGCCAGGTACCTTGACACCCAAGGATCTTACACAGTCAGACGTGAGCTATTTATTTGCTTGGGTGAGCAGTCATTCAAAAAGTCAGCTCTGCTTTGAGATGCAGCTCAAGTGCTTATCAACCTACAAGAAGACAGGACTACTGCTATTATTACCCAGTGCTAACAAAGGATGAGCGATGCGGCATGGGATGTAGAACACAGGCAGCCCTGGCTTTCAAGAGCTTCGGCTCTAAAACAAAGACAGGGAAGAAAATGCCTTGCAGTGCCAAGAATAGGAAGCCCATTTAGAACATATTACTAACTCACTTCTTGAGGATAATGCAAAATTAGCTAGTCTTTAGAAGACAATTCGTCCTGCAGTTAATATCGCCCAGAAGTTGCAAAAGACTATTCAAAACTATTGTCACAGCAGTTTCTATTTTTTGCTACTAACAGGACCCAAGGTCTAACTCTTTTTTTTTTTTCTTTTTTTTTTTTTTAAATAAAACAATTAAAATGAAACATCCAATGTAAACAGGGTCTTGCATCTGGAAGTTGTAAACTGTTGGCTGGAGAAAGCAAGGGGAGTTACAAGCAAACTTTGAATTTGTTTCACCATTTTCTTCCTAAGCTTTCTTTTACATTGCCAGATACTTCCTATATTTAGTCAGAACTGTTTTCTTTTGCTGCAAACTAAATGCAAAATAATTATTCTCCCCATGCCTTTGAAAGAGAAATCTTTTAGAAATGAAAGAGAAATAGATGGGTCCTGGTTTTGCTCAGAAGGCAAATGACATGCAAAAGTGAGCACGCAGTGTCAGTGGTGAGAAGGAAATGCTTTTTAAGTCCTTCATCCCAAACTAAGAAGACAAGTCTGGAAACAGTGCTAACACTTTTTGAAAGAAGACAGTCTGTGCATTTCTCTCAATGTCAACCTGCATGGAAGAAGAGCAAGAATATCCATACACAAGATCAGCTTCATGCTTAAAACATCTACTAAGGAGAAGCAGCTTGCAAACAGAGAGGATGCTATCACCCAAAACCTGAACAAACCTGATAGGTTTACTGAAGCTGTGAGTAACTGGTTTAGAAATATACCCTAGGATTTAAATTCATAGTTTTGTTCTGCAGAGAGGAAAAGGTAGGACTGAAAAGCAAAGCATTTTCAGCATGTCCAACCATCCCTGTTGTGCCCCTCACCCTTTCTTTATAAGCCTCCTTGTAAGTGCCATTATCCAAATGGGACTTAGAGCCCAGATAGATAATTAGGTTCTAGAGACTGAGGAAAAAAAAAATCCAGGTGCAAATTAAATTTGCTTTTCAGAGACTCCTGGGAGGTTTGAACTGCTGACCTGATAGCTCAAACAGTGAAGAAAAACATTGGAGCAATTGTAGGGTGACTCCTACAAGAAAAGAATAGGAGGAGTCAGGAAAACCAGTTCTTTCGCATTTTAATTAAACAGTTAGCATCAAACATCATAAACCCAGCTAGTGACTTATGATGAACAATTAAGTCATTATAATAATTAACTACAATTATTAAACCAAAGCATCTCTGCAGCAGAAGGGGCAGATACAGCCTTAAAAATATATATTAATCTACTGAACAACAAGAAATCTGGACATCTCTGCTTCTAAAATATTATGTGTAGAAGTAAACTGAAGTATATAAATCACTGGTCCAGGACTTCATGTTGCCTCTTCAGAGAAAGGTTTTAATTAAGCTAATAAACTTCTGATGCAAAATGCATTGTATATCCAGGAGACATCAAACCACCTGGTCAGCCACCAATGGGTTCTGCTTTTGCCTGTCCCTCAGCCAGGACTGGCCCCTCATCTCCTTCTTGAGACTGTGCTCTCCATTCAACGTGAGGTGAAACTGTAGGAATCAGGTGAATGTTTTCTAGACTTTTTTCTTCTAGGTTGATCTTCTCTGGATCAACAAAACTCTATGCCTTGGACTTCCAGGGTGTGAAGAAAGAGCAAACCCCATCAAGACCTTTCCTCGTTTGGATTCTTACCTTCAGCTGTGTCAGGGCAATAGGCAGCAGGCTTCATGAACTCTTTGCACCAGAGGCAAGCAAAACTCAACATAAATAGCTGCCATTTCAGCACATTTTTCTTTTTTTCCCCTGACCCAAGTGAAGTTTTTAAGTCATGCACTGGTCAGAGTGCTCCAAACCACAGCCTTTCACTGAAGTGCCAGTATGCTTTTTTCAGCTAATAATTATTTGTCTTAAAATGTTACCAGAAGCAAAAAGACCCACTGAGTTGGCAAAACTCTGGATGAGGAAGCCAAGCCTATGGACAATTCTTCAAGCTTGTGGGGTTCCTGTCCTCACGGAGGAATCAAACGGCTGACTAAAGACATGTGCACGCGTAGCCTTCAATTTGGTTAAATACTAAAAAATACTGGCGCTGCAAGCGTTAATCTTTGTTCTTGTGCTTCTGGCTCTGGCTTTTAGAGAGAAGTAGAGGCTACAGTACAACAGAAAAATACCATTCTTCTTAAATCATCCCACTAAGAAGACTGCTGGATCTCACTGGAACCATTCAATGACAAGACAAGAGGGCAAGAGCCATGTGCATCCCTGCTCCTCTCTCTAAACTTCTTTTGTAAGGTGAACTGTCTTCACTTGTGCTTTAATGTTAATCAAAATTAATTGCACTTAACGAGCATCCATTAGGTCCTACAAACTCTGAGCATAGCACAAGGCATGGATATTAGAACTGATTTTTACAAGAGCTAAATTTTAAGACTAGGAAGCTTCATCTGCCATAACAAGGGAAATAGCATTTTGGGTTCCAGCCTATGGTTCTTCCTTGTAAATGTTCCATGTTCACAATCCCCAGAGCACTGTAAAGAGTAACAACCCAAAAAAGGAATTCTGTGATTAGTTTTCCTTTTTTTTTTTTTTCTTTCTTTTGTCATTGCTGTGCTCTAATTCTCTAGAAGAAGTTCGCCTTGTTGCACGGCTTTTGCACATCCATGGTCAATACACTTTCTTGCCGCCAGGATGAATTTCCTTCAGACCCTGACCAGGACTGCATTTAATCCTGTAGGAACACTGTAGTAAAGAAGCTTCTTAAAAAGACAAGTTTTGCCCAAGACTATCTTCCCTGGTGGGAACACCAGCCATGCAAGCCCATCTCTAGTTTATAGTCTCCAATTAAACTTGATGCAGTCGTCGCTTACCTCTCCCGGTCACCTGCTAAGAAACCCCAGCTGCTACATCATCATCTCTGTGACTTGCAAATACACATATTCCAATTTCAGAACATTTTTTCAAGCTTCTTCACACATGAGCTGTTGAACACATGGTTTTCTTTCAAAATACTTCACAAGAATGTTGGCTAACAAACGCTCCGGAGAATCTGGCAATCGCCTTGTGGGTAATTTATAAAAAGTAAAAGCAGTGAAATAAAACTATATTTTGGGGCCAATATTTTTTTTTTTTCATTTGCTGAGCCTCACTGGCTATTTTCCTTTATCCCCCTCCACCCTGCCTTTGCTGGCTTGTTTTTCTCTCCAGGCAGCGGGCGTGACCCAAAAGCAGAGCCCATTAGGTGTGCAAGGAGGGCTTTTGGGTGCATGAACTCCTGCAGCACCCTGTCAAGCCCGGGATGCCATGCCAGGCTGGACTGGTGCTGCAGGAATATCCCTGTTGACTTGCCCTCACCTCCTCCTGCAGCATCTGCTCTGCAGCTGCTCAGCAGAGACAGGCAGGATCTCAAACGTGTTGTGAGCAGGACTGAACAAAGGTTTGTGATTACCTGTTTTCCCAGAGGGAGAGAAGTGACGCAGAGGGAGGTGCAGTGACTCATTTGAAACACTTTGGGGATGGAAATGATGTTAGAAACCAAGCTAAGCTTTGCAAAGCCCTGCATTTACAGACCCTCACTGAGTCCAGAGCTACTGATGCTGAATGGTGTAAATTAACCAAGAAGAAGCAGTTCAGGAGGTAGTGTGGGAAGGGAGTGGAATTCGTATTACTTTTGCTAGAAGGAACTGAGCAAATCTTTTGTACATACATTTTGTACCATACTTAACCAACATGTCCTACATGGATGTGTGGCCCATTGAGAACTGAGCATATGTAGGACCTTCAAACCTCGATGGTTTTCCAACAGGACCTCTCCCCAGGAGCCTGCTCCTGATTGCAGCAAAATGAAACCAAGCCGTGGATAGGGATGTTGTGGGACATCCTGTGTTACCAGGACTGGGCTGCTCCCTTGGCCAAGAAGAAGCCACCAGCAAGCACAATAACATCCCATCTAGTTTTCTACTTACTGCAATATCCTAATGCCTCTGTGGCACCTGAACGCTGCTCAGGGGATGCTTGTAAGAAAGCCAGCAGACTGTTTTCACCTTAAATGGTTGCTCAAATTTAAATATTGTGTCTGTTTATACTTGGCAGCAAGGGATCCTACCAATGACAGAGTGCTAAAATGCCAAAAAGGGGCAGGGTGGAAGGAAAGGCATTTATCAGCAGCACTGACAAAAAGTAGCACTGCTCTGAGCATTGTCTCACACATTTATCCTGTTCTAGCTGCAGAGAGCAGTGTAAGACAAACAGACCAGAGAGTGGCCATGCTCTGTGCCCAACGGCCTGGAGCAGTTTGCCTGATGGAAATGTTGCACTCAGCACAGATGATGCTGAGGGCAGAGATTTTTTTGTCCCCAGATGGTTTGCTTTACTTCCTACCATTCAGCACTGCAAAGCTGCTGATGGCCAGCCTCCCGCTCCAGAGTAAGCATTACGAAACGATACAGGCAGAAAATCAACACATCTGAGAAAGAAGAAACTTGCAGCCTGCCTTGTCCAACTCCTCAGCTGCATCCACTAACCAGGGTGGAAGTCTCTGTCGGGTGGAGCTCTCTTTGCTCTTGTTTCCACATGAGAAGAAAACATTTTTGTTTTCTCTAGATTATAGCAATGGCTTTGAGAAATTTCAGAGGGGCTGTGAATACCTTCCCCAGGGGTTTCACACCCAGGGACCTGGTCACAGTGCCTTTCCGTGACCATTCACAGAATACTCTTTTTGAGCCCCCACCTCCCGTTACACAGAGGGGAGAGCTCACCCATGTTGCAGTGACAACCTGGGTACCCCAGGGGACACAAGCAGGTGGTGCCTCCATCATGTTCCTGGCAGGTGCCAGCTCCACCACACTGCTCGTCATGGCCGGGGTGCAGCCACGTCCACCAGGAACAGCAATTTAGAGACAATGATGCCTACTGCTGTGACGCAGTGAGGGAAGGCCAGCTATGCATCTCCTGGTGCTTTCCTTGAACTGGTCCTCTGCTGCTCTCCCCAGGGGCATGTAATCAGCATGGGCAGGCAGGAGGGAGATCCAGGAGGCTTCTGGGGATGTGGTTATGCTGGGTGGGTAGTTGCATTACCTGCCCAAACACTGACTGGCATTTGTTAAGACAGAAGCTGTCGAACACAAGCTGTGGAAAACCCCACACTTTTCTGGCTTCCCACCACAGTAATATTTTCATCAAGCCTGCTTCCATGTCAATGTTCTCTGCTGCAGAAGAAGCAAAAATGTGACAACTATGCCTCCTCCCTCCCTTGCCCTCCATAGCACATTCCCCTCCAGACACGGTACCTTCTGTAGTGGGTCCTAATGCATCTATTGCTTCTTGTGGGACTTGAGGCAGGACGGCAGTGGCGGTGGCCAGCAGATGGGGGCTGTCTAGAACAACAGCTGTCTCTGTCTTTTGTCCTGACGCTGCAGGAGAGGAGGGCTCTATTTCGAGCTGAGCCTCTTCAAGGCTCCTGGGTCCTTGTGTTGGTTCAACATCTGGAGTGCTAGTACTAATTACAACGTCTGGGACAGACGTTTCCCCTGAAATGCCTCTGATCGAGTGTGTCACAGCTCCAGATGTTGCATCAGAAATTTCCTTCTCCTCGGGAGCACCAGAGGGCTCACCACTGGCCAAAGATGTGGCAGCCGTTTCGATGTTAGCAGCAGGCAATGCGGATGCTTCTCCACTGGTTTCATGGACTGTGGATGTTTCTATGCTAGTCTCAGGAAATGCAGATGTTTCACCCCGGGGTTCTTGACCTGTGGATGTTTCTATTCTAACTTCAGGAAACACAGAGGTTTCCCCACTTACTTCTTGAACTGTGGATGTTTCTATGCTGATTTCAGGATAGGCAGATGTTTCACCTCTGGCTTCTTGACTTGTTGGTGTTTCTATGTTAATCTCAGGGAATGCAGACGTTTCCCCACTGATTTCATGGACCGTTGAAGTTTCTATGCTGATTTCAGGAAAGGCTGATGTTTCACCTCGGGCTTCTTGACTTGTGGATGTTTCTATTCTAATTTCTGGAAATGCAGATGTTTCACCACTGATTTCGTGGACTGTCGAAGTTTCTATGCTAATTTCAGGAAAGGCTGACGTTTCTCCACTGATTTCGTGGACTGTCGAAGTTTCTATGCTGATTTTGGGAAATGCAGATGTTTCCCCACTGGTTTCGTGGACTGTGGATGTTTCTATACTAATTTCAGGATAGCCAGATGTTTCACCCCTGGCTTCTTGACTTGTGGATGTTTCTATTCTAATTTCAGGAAATGCGGAACTTTCCCCACTGATTTCACGTAGTGTGGAAGTTTCTATGCTGATTTCAGGAAAGGCAGGTGTTTCTCCACTGATTTCATGGACTGTGGATGTTTCTATGATGATTTCAGGGTAGCCAGATGTTTCACCTCTGGCTTCTTGACTTGTAGATGTTTCTATTCTAATTTCAGGAAATGCAGATGTTTCCCCACTGATTTCTTGTATGGTAGATGTTTCTATTCTAATTTCTGGAAATGCAGATGTTTCCCCACTGATTTCTTGTGTTGTGGATGTTTCTGTGCTACTTTCAATAAATGCAGAGGTTTCCCCACTTATTTCTTGAACTGTGGATGTTTCTATGATAATTTCAGGATAGCCAGATGTTTCACCTCTGGCTTCTTGAGTTGTGGATGTTTCTATTCTAATTTCAGGAAATGCGGATGTTTCCCCACTAATTTCTTGAATTGTTGATGTTTCTATGCTAAATTCAGGAAATGCAGATGTGTCTCCACTGATTTCATGAATCGTGGATGTTTCTACACTAGTTTCAGGAAATGCAGATGTTTCACCACTGATTTCTTGAATTGTGGATGTTTCTATACTAGTTTCAGGAAATGCAGATGTTTCCCCACTGATGTCATAAGCTGTTGATATTTCTGTGCCACTTTCTGGCAATGCAGATGTTTCCCCACTTAGTTCACCAGATGCAGAAGCCTCACCACTTTTTTTTTTTGACAGCTGTTTCTCCACCCAGTTCTTGTGATACTGTTGGTCTTGTCACAACTTCTACTAAATCAGAAGTGACTAAAGTGACTTCTGGAAGCCCTGAGACCTCCCCACTAATGTCAGTCACTGTTGAAGATTGTCCACTTAGGTCTACGGCTCCAGAAGTGTCTCCACTGATGTATGGGATCCCAGATGGCTCTCCACTGAAGTCTCCTGTTCCTGAAGGAAACCCACTGGTCTCCACAGCTCCAGACCCTTCTCCAGATAGTCCTCTGTCTCCAGAAGGAAATCCACTGATTTCTGTCACCCCAGATGGCCCTTCTCCCACCTCTTGTGCAACTGAAGTCTGTGTTACAACTTCCACCAAAGTGGTATCCACAAGAGAGATTGTGGGAAAGCCAGAGGTGAGTCCACTTTCCTCTCCAGACAGGATCCCACTGGTGACATCAACTCCAGAGGCTTCTCCACTGCTGTCAATCATTACGCTGGGATGTCCGCTCATCTCGAGCTCTCCAGAAACACTCCCACCAAAGTCTACCTGCCCAGAAGACTGACCACTGAGGTCTAAACTCCCAGATACCATGCCTGATGCATCTTCACCTCCTGAAGGCAATCCACTGATTTCCAAAATCTCTTTTGCTTCTGCTCCTGTAATTGAGGGGGTTGTTGTCACTTCCTCCAAACTGGCATCTACAAAGGTAATGCCTGAGGCCTCACCGCTTCCATCGATACCAGAAGTAAGGCCACTTAGGTCCACCAGGCCACTGCCTTCATGTGTTCCAGATGGTTCTCCACTGACATCCAGTCCTGAGGGCAACCCGCTGAGCTCAGGTCCTCCGGAGGGCTCCTCACTGACCTCGGGCACCCCAGAAGGCTCCCCACTGACCTCGGGCACCCCAGAAGGCTCCCCACTGAGCTCGGGCACCCCAGAAGGCTCCCCACTGAGCTCGGGCACCCCAGAAGGCTCCCCACTGAGCTCAGCTCCTGAGGGTAATCCTTGGGGTCCTCCACTGGTGTCCCACTCAGCAGACGGGAGCCCTGACAGATCTTCTTCACCGCTGACTCCGATGGATCCTTTTCCCTCCTCTCGCCGTTCTGGTGCTGTTGTGACAACCTCCACCAGCGTGGTATCCACAAGAGAAACGGTAGGAAAACCAGAGGCGAGTCCACTTTCCTCTCCAGATGACACACCACTGACCAGTTCAGTGCCAGAGATCTCTTGGCTAAATCCAGAAGGCAGCCCACTGCTTTCCACTCCAGATGGCATCCCACTAATTTCTGGTATCCTTGAAATAGACACCAATACGTCTTCCTCTGCAGAAGGTAAGCCACTGATGTCAACAATGCCAGAAGGCACCCCACTGAGGTCCCCCGAGGGTAGCCCACTTTCCCCAGGTAGAAAGCCACTGGTATGCAGGTCTACTGATGGTAATCCACTTTCTCCAATCCCTGAGTGTTCTCCACTAGGTTCAAAAACTCCAGAAGTCGGTTCTCTGCTTGTATCTGGGACTCCGGATACCCACCCAGATGCTGAAGATTCACCAGTGACTTGATGTTCTCCAGGTTCAGTCACCTCCCCTGACACTTGGCTGACAGAAGCATCGGTACTTGTTTCCTCTGGTATTACAGTAGCTGGAGGAAAAGCAGATGGACTCACTGGAAAAGGAAGGGCAAACAAAGAGAGAGAGAGAGAGAGGAAAATTATTTACTAAATTGTTTTAAAGAAGCTACTAACAATTTCCTCATTGACTTTACCTCCAAACTGCTACCTTTGGGATAAAGGTACAAAGTTTCATGTGCTTGCAGAAATAATTTGGTCTCTTCAAATTTGTTTTTGAATGTTGTATCTTAAACAAGTGTAAATTATATATTTCTGTGAAACTGACAGAATAGATATAATCTTCTGACATGGGATGATGTCAACAGTGAAACCAATTCCCAGGTGCCAAAATCAAGCTACTGCTTCCTTGGAGATAATGTGGGAGAGAACAAGTGTGGTGGTGCTGCTCTGACCACACTGCAGCTCTGTCCTCCCTGGAAGGAATGGCCCAAGATCTATTTCTAGCCTGCCTTTCCCATCCTGGATACATGACAACATATTTTGTGAAGTGCCCTGGCAATCCTGTGTGTGCTGGTCTGCAGCATGTCAGGGTGGCTGGTCATCTAGTTCAGTGCTAGCAAAAAGTTCAATAATATTCCTGTGTAGTTCCTCCTGTGTGCACAGCCTCAGGCTTTGCTAATACAGTGATAATTGTCTGGATCTAGAAGGAGTCCCCTGCAACAAGGACACCACCTATTTGTTTTGGGAGTGTTCCAACCCTACGACACCAGCCAAGCACGACCCAGGAGATGGGGAAGCTCTGACCCACCTGAGAGCAGCGACACGTCAGTTGGAAAGACCTCTGTACCCCAGGCCGTCTGGTTCTCAGGTTGAGTGGCCAACTCTGTCTCCACAGTCGCCTCCTCTCCGGAGGGTACTCCCTCCACTCCAGGGATCACTTGGGTTGCCAACGCATCTTCTTCAATGAACGAGGTGACCCCCTCCTCCTCCACAGGTGGCAGAGCTGGAATGGAAAGGCATTGGAGGGGATTTCCAAAAATTCACAGTCCAAGATGCTGGTGAAGTGCTTCACCCAAACCAGCACCCTGATGTACCCAACCTCTCTTGGGAAATCCCTTTCCCTGAGGAGACCAGTCTACACGCCCTACAAGGGGTGGGAGGGTACCTCTGAAGCAGAAGGCGTGATGCCGGGACAGTGGGTCAGGAAAGCCCGTCTGGTTGTAGTGCTGGTAGACGGTTCTCACACCAGGTGCATCCCCGCCACAGGCAGGACGGGGGCTCACAATGGGATAACGGAGGCTGCCATCGGCCAACCAGCCAGCGTAGCATCTGTCCAGGCCCTGCTTCCAGGCGGCGTGGAGTTGGCCAACAGAAGCCAGCGTGGCGTTTTGGCTCTCACAGTACTGCTGGGCTTCTGGGAAGGTGAACTGCTCTGGCTGGGTTGTGAAGAACACCTCACCTGAGGGATGGGAGAGAAAACAGACATGAGACGCTGCATCCCACCCATGCACACACAGATGTGGAGGTGTGAAGCACATTTTTTGTTCCACAGCCATTCCCAGAGCAAAAGGAAGAACGTACCCTTGAGCCTGTCGATGTAGCAGTACACATCATAGGTCTCTGAGGCTGGGCGCATGCCGTACGACCGCACGCCTGGAGAGCTCTCTTTGTCTCCTATGCAGTTATCTCGTGGATTCACAATGGGATACCTACCAAAAGAAGAAGAGAAGAGGTAACCCAAGGTCAGCTGTGTGTACCCTGAAGAACCTTGGTTTACTTGAGAGTAGGACATGAACGCTTCACTGTTAGAGCTGGTCAGAGCCCCTAGCATGACTTGGGAACAAGTTTAATCTGCACTTACAACTTGGGGCAATGACTACAAACTTTCCACCAGTTTTCCTACATGTCAGTACACTGTGGAGCTCACCACTGCGGGATATACACACAGACTAGGAAAGAGGTAGGAGAGGTTGAAAAGAACAGGTCTATTGGCCACTAGACATCATGGCCTGAAGACGACCTTGGGTCAGGAAAGCTTTAGATGCTGATGAGCAGAGCAGCAGGACAGACCAGAGTAAAGCCTCAATTTCATGGCTGAATAGTCATTCTGAGAGGTATCTTCCCCAAGTCAGTATAGTTTTACCTGACTGTCTGGTCCCGCAGCCAGCCGGCATCACACTGGTCAAAGCCAGCCTCGTAGGCAGCCTGGAGCTGTTCAGGAGTGGCGATTACTGCATTGTTCTCCAGACAGGCCTTCTGGGCTTGGACGAAGGAGAAGGCATATCTGCTGGTGGCGGCGCGGTAGTGAAACACCACACCTGGTGCAAGAGAAGCCGGGGTGAGACAACAGATAGAGGACCCCCCCTCCACCAAGATGCACAAACAGAAATGGTCTTCCCAACAGCAGTGCAAGGACCAGTGCCTGTCAAACCCGCTTTGATGGAGATGCCTCATTCATTGAGCTCCACTGCCACTGAGGGTGACGTTCTGGTGATCTCTCCAGCCCTCCTCTAGGATATCCCCGACCCCAGACAGGTCTGCACACCTCCAGGGACCTGGATGCCCTCTGCCATGGCAGAAGCTCGGACTGTTTTTAGCTGAATGGCTACCTCTAGGAAAAACTGATCTTCAGGCTTCTCGGAGTCTTGGTGACTTACCCGTGGGCGAGATGGGCTTCTCAGGGAGGAGACCGACACTGGGGGCTGCTGTCACTCGCACGAGCTGATCTTCCACTTTGACTCTAGTCCTGCTGTGGCAGTCACCCCTGTGACCTCTTCTACTGAGCTCACCTCTGCCGTTTCAGTGGTGATGGCAGTGCGTAGGGCTATGGTGGTGACCTCTTCAGGTACAGCCCACACCCCTGTGACCTCCTGCCTGGTCACGTTCTCCTCCTCTGGGGTAGTTGTCTCTACTGTGACACTGGTGGTGAAGAGATCGGGCGGGATGGTGAAGCCCTCATACAGCTCGGTGGCGATGGGTGTGATGTCAATGGGCTCCAGGGTGGCGATGCTGCCACGGGCCTCCTCCTCCGTGGCGTTGCGTGCCAGAGGTAGCTCCACTTCAGTCTGGGTGACGGTCTGGACAGTGAAAGCGCTGCCCAGCTCACTTCCTGTCTCATCAATGAACTGCCCTGGGACCAGAATCTCAACGTCGTCCCCTGCATCAGGAGACAAAGCAGCAATAGAGAGGACATGGTCAGTCTAGCAAGGTGTACCATGCTGGTGCTGCTTCCCAGAAGAAGCTGGGTGTTTGCTGGCTCTGAGAGGAGCAGGGTCATCATGATGGTCTGGAAAAAGGAATGGTTTTCCTTCCTCCACTATGGCTCTCTACAACACCTCAGCACGGAGGACACGTTCATGAGTTAGAGGCAATGAGCCAGCACACGCTCCACAGCTGATGGATCAGCGCTCCACAGCTGATGGATCAGAAAGGACTTTCCTTGTTCCCCTCCCAGCTCTTCTTCCCGGGAACACCTTGCCCATATCCAAGTCTGCACTGACCTCTAGTGCCTGCTGCAAGGAATTTAAGGTGGCCAGAGTGAAGTGGGGGGGCTTGGATAACCTCCACAGCAGGTCTGAGCCATAGGAGAAAGACAACTGGATCCTCACACTCAATACATGAAGTCTCACCAGGATCACGATCTCCTTCTGCTCTGCCCAGGTGATGACTTAAGAGCTCATCACGTACAAGCGTGCCAACCGCATCACCAGGACAGCCAAAGCAACTTGCAGTACCAAGTACGCCCAAACAAATCCCACCTTTTCCCTTCCAAATGACTTTTCTGCTCAAGTCACATCCCTCGGGTGTAGAAGACCGTGCTTAACGTGCTACTGAGCAGGTCAGCCTACAGCAAGGATGGTGGTTTAAAGAGCAGCCTAAAACAGAACTGGGCAGGTGAGGGAGGGATAGGCAAAGCAGGTTGCAGCTAGGGAGGGAGAGAGAGATCATGAGACACTGTCAGGCTTTTCATCTAATACTGCTTTCCCTGCTCTTTATTTTCAATTCCATTTTGCTGCTAGTTCATTGCAGCCAGTACCTCTCAAACCTCAAGGGATTCCAAGAACTACATAGACATGCTCAGACAAGGACTGGCTGTACTCAGCAGTTTCAGATACATGCCCTGTGATAACCAGAAGGCTGTGGCTTGGTGGGCCAGTCTTTAGCTTGGCCATGTAGCTGGATACCTCCAAGGGGTCTGGGAGGTTTTACAGGGCCTCCTGACACACTGATCATGCACACGTTTGGGAGCAATGGGTCTGTATCAAAGGGGTTTCAAAACATATTTTAAAATATTGTTATTATTTTTTTAAGATGGCAATCCTATTGAATGTCAGCCTCTGGTTGCCCTGAATAGACCATATACCACTGTGTTTGCCCCCTTCTTGCTGCAGAGAGAAATGTGCAGTTAGAAGAAAGGGGGAGTAGTTGGGATGCTCTTGACTTCCTAGGTGCAATTTTGCCTCATTTCTAATTGCCAGACACTGCTGCACTCTCTGATTTATGCCAGCGTAGATACTCAGGCATAAGTCTGTACCACGTCAGAGCACTATACACATCTTCATGGTCAGATCTGTTCTCTTTTTTGTTCTCTTCCATCTCTAACATTCAGTCTTGTACATACAGCACCTGAGCTCTGCTCCATGGCTCCTGGGGAGCTACCAAAGCTGGAAGGTGTGGGAGGACTGGAGAGAAGGCAGCTGTACAAACGCAGTTCCTCAGAGTCCTCCTGTATAGGGTGGGCATCCATGCACTTTCTGGACTCTGCCTCCTACCTTAATGTGAATGCAGGACTAAGTCCTTTGACAAACCTGCTTTCCCCTTGCTTTGAAAAAAAACACACCCAAAAACTAATTTAAAGAAGCAAGAGGTTAGCTCTGTCCAGGCTTAGTCCCACAGCCCCGATGTACTCACCACTATAGCAGATGGCATCATAGCGAGAGTCGGGGTGAGGATACCCTGTCTGGTTGACGTACAGGTACACCGTCCGCACGCCCACCAGGTTTCCTCCACAGTTGGGCCGTGCTCTGGAAATGGGGTAGCGGACACTGCGATCTGCCAACCAGCCTGCGCTGCACATGTCCATGCCATCCTTCCAGGCCAGGTACAGCTCTCCCGTGGTGGCCAAACGGGCTCCCAAACTGCGGCATTTGTCGAAAGCTTCTTGGAAGGTAAACTTCTCAGGGGCGGTGGCATAGAAGACTTTACCTGCAATCACACCATCCATTAGCACAGGAATTAGCTGTAGAATTGAATCCCAGTTCCCTTTCTTTTCCTTCCCCACTCCTGAGAGTTTGGATAAGACGAAAAGTCCCGTGTGTTACAGCCAAACTGCAACCCCATGTGGGTGACTGTCTATAAAGACCAGAAGAAAGGGACTCTTACAGACCAAATACAGACTGGAGCAGAACATACCAAATGAGCTGGAACCACAGGGCAAGAGGAAGATAAAGGACAATTTCAGTTCTTATGTGCTAAATATTTCAGTGGATCCCTGGGTGATGGACACCTGCGAATGTCACACCCTCAAATGGATGACCAGAGACACGCAGGATGGCACGGACTCTGGAGGAGGCTGGACGGACTCCACCCTCTGTACTGCATTAGTCATTTGACATTAAAATTGTCCAAGGTCTAACAAAGAGACTGTAGAGAACATTTGGCCTTGCTGGTGTATATGCTTTTCCATCTTTAACTTGTTCTTCCTCTGGGCCCTTTGCTGCTGTATTTACTGTTGTCCAGTCTAGGCATGATCTCTGGCTGCTTCTGCGTCTAGTAACAATAAAAGCCCCAACTCACCTTGCATTTGCTCTGCATAGCAGTAAACATCATAGGTTTCATCTGGCTCGCGGACACCGTAGGTCCTCACCCCTGGAAATTCATCCTTATCACCATAGCAGCGCTCCCGGGGCCAGTGGATGGGGTACCTGGGGGAGAGAGGGTGCGTAAGCAGGGGGACAGGACCCTGGCAGCTGCAGCGAGGCTAGAGGTAGCTGCGGAGCACTGCGCAGTGTGATGATTTATGACTTTTCCTGGGTTATGAGGGAGGGGAAGGCTGATGTGCTGTCCTGCCCTCCCTCTGATGGTCCTGAACACAGCAGGTCCCTGGGAGCATCGGCTAAAGACACGAGCCCAAGGTGCCTCCCCAGCGGGGGATGCTTAGCTTGGCACAGTTGAGCCACACTTGGCATAATGTCTGTTTTGTTCAAAGAGGATGAAGGGTCAGGATTAAACCATTGTCCACTCAGCTGTCACCACCAGCTGAGGAGGACAGTGGTCACTCTGCTTTTCCACTATAGATTCCCCTCTGGCAGAGGATGGCTTGCGATCCACCACCTCCCTCTGCACACCAGCAATTACAACAGCTGCTATTTTACTGTTTCTCAACTATTTTCAGTCAGTGGCTTCATTACAGAAGCCCTTCCCTAATGACCCTGTGTGGCTTTTCTTTCCCCCTCGACACCATTCATTACCTGACAGTCTGATCCGCCAGCCAGCCAGCATCACACTGCTCGTATCCATCCTCATAGGCAGCCTGCAGCTGCTCAGGAGTAGCAATGACAGCGCTGTTCTGGATACAGGCCTGCTTTGCTTTCTCAAAGTTCAAGGTATACCTTGTGGAGATTGCTCTGTAGTGGAATACGATGCCTGGAAAACACAATGGCCATCACTCACATGTCTTCTAGAGAGCAAACAGCCCCTTCCCTTACAAAGATGTTATGTATTCAAAGAACAGATAGTACATGTCAACTAGAAACAGTGGATTATATATGCTGATTGTCTGTATTGGAGCCTCTCAACCCAAGGGTGGCTTGATGGGCTCCTTTCACAGGACCCTGTGGAGCACATGGGTGACCTAGGACAGTGACTGTTCTCCCATGGTGCTATAACAAAATTATGGTGCATGAGAAGCCAGTACCTGAGTGCTAGTGTGAACACTGCGAGGAAACCTACTGCCCAGAACACAGAGCAATATCCCTGTCAGAAGGACTCGATATTTTCCTGATACAGCTTTGTGCAGCATTTTAAATGTGTGATTCAGAAATCAGGCAGTAGGGCATAGCGGGGAGCGTACTGCTGGGCAGGTTTGAAAGCTGCCACCTCCCAAGGTCCTGCTGAGGACCAAGGGAGCAGACTGTCAGTCACTGTACAAGCACCCAGGAAACAATGAGAGGCAAATACACCTAAAATCTCCAGGTCTGCCTCAAACATCTCTAAGTTGTATTTTTTTGATGAAGAGGGATCTTTATAGAGGATGGCTATCTGTACACTCTGATCTGGCACGAGCAGGCTTTAAATCAAGTGGAAAATTCCTCAGGTGGCAATGAGGAGGCTCCCAGCCTCCACTGTCAGACTGTCACTCCAGTGCACGTGAGCAGCAGAGACCTGCCGGTTAACTGTTGTGGTGGAAGCTGTCTCCCTGTCCTATACTGAAAGCAAAAACCACAATAAAGATAAGGATATTGTAGGAAACTTTTGTTATTTTATCCGCCTATTACTAGGATGTGCTTTGCAAGATGCTGGAGAAAGTTTTTCCAGACCAATTCTCCAGCTGAGGGCATCCCATCTCTTAAAATGTTTGGAAGAAATAAAAGGTCTTACAATGGTCCTGTTCCAGCTTCACCCCTCTGAGCAATAACCCAGCGTATCCAGTACCACCTCCAGCCAAGGATGTCGTCTTGCTGTCTCTGTAACTCACCTTCTGCCAAAGAGTCATTTTATTGCCATATATTCTGCCGTGAGTCATTTGACTGGCTTCTTTGGTCCTAGCCTGCTAAAAAAATTTTGTGGCCCATGGCTTCTGCTCACCTACCCATTTCCTTATCTGTGACCTGACTGAAAGGGTTTATTCCTTCAGGGAGAGCAGTGCCTCCTCTGCCCATATATTTCTTCCTCCCTTCTGGCCAGGCCAGGCAGCAACATCTTGAGAAGAAAGAGGAAAGGCAGAATCTCACCTTTCACTAGGACCTCGATGGTGTCTTGTCTGTCCTCAATCCCGTACATCACTTCACAGCGATAAATCCCAGTGTGGTTGGATCTCAGCGCCTTGATTTCCAGTGTGGCATCGGTGGGGATGGCGGGGTAATTGGGCAAAGAGATGGCCTCCCTGTACTCGGTGTTGAGCCGGATTTTCCCACCGGTGGCCACTAGCAAGACAACTTCGGTGCCGTTTGAGAGTTTGCTCCATTTGATGCGCGGGGTCAGCAGAGCACTGGTGTCCTCTTCCTCTGGGATGTTGAAGTAACATGGGATGTTCAGGGAGCTTCCCAGGACAACACGCAGGGGAGACTGCTCAGGTATCTTCACTTCCAGGCCATCACTACTGTCTGCCAGTTGCCAAACAAAGCAGTGGTTACATCAATAACACATTTAATCCAAAATATCCAGTGCTTCTGCATGCTCCAATGCCTGCCTCTGCTTTGCAAACCTGCACCCACATATTCAGACATGCTCTGTTTGGTCTAGTCTGCTGAAAATAACCTGCAGAAAGGGAAATTACAACCATGATCCTTGTGCCACGGTTGCTTTTGGGATTTGGACCAGTGCTGGATGTGGGAATGAAGGGCTCTGCTGCAGTGGGTACACTTATTTCTGGCAGCTGCCCATGCTCGGGGATGGGACATGCTCTGGCACAGCACATTGCTCCATCCCGCTTTCCCACACCCCAGGGCACGTACCTGAGAGCTCCACAGAGGTGACGGCAGTGATGGCTTGCAAACACACAAACACTAATAGTAAAGTGGTCATAGTTTACCTGCAAGAAACAACACAGGGAGAGAGGGTTTATGACAGCTGTTATGTTCACAGGGAGCTGAGGGCTGCGGATGCTGCTGCGGGGCTGTGTGATGCTTTTAGCCCCCCCTTAAGCCTCCTACACATGGCTGGTGGTGAAAGCTGGTCCTTGTGGAAGGTCGTTGTCCCAAAGTGCCTCTTGCTTCACAAAATGAGTCCGGGAGACAAATATATAAGATGCTCTGCTATGTACAACAGCTTGAAGTGTTATTATAGATCACTTATTATATTGCTCTCCCGTTCTCTCTCTTGTGATTCAATCTTCCCTGTGGAGCCTAAAGAATTTAACAACAGATCCTCACACTTATTGTGTATTTACTCAAGAGGGACCATCACATCCATGAAGCCTTCATCTCAGAACAGAAGCTGCCCCTCACAGGCGTCCCCCATCCAAGCCAGCACTGACTCTTGGGCCAGATGACTGGATGCATTTTGCGAGACTTAAAATGCTCTGAAGGGAAATCTGCCCTCTGTGTGGTGGAAAAGCCAAAGGTTACCGTGCTTTCGTCCAATGCTCTTGCACTGACAGCATACATAGCCTTGACTGCAAATGGACCCTGAACTGATACAAGAAATTCACAGTATACAGTTCTGGGCATCTTAACTCCAGCCTAAAAATATCCTGTTGGGATCCCTGAATTAGTCAGAGCACCCTGCTACTACTGAAAGCTTTAGGAAAGGAAAGGAGCATCCTGCTGACATTGAATGGCAGAAGCAATATAGGGAGGCCAAGTAAATTAATCCTAGCTGGATTATCAACCAATATAATATCATGGGATTTTAAATAACCACAAATACTTGAGTTGGTTTTAATAATTCAGATAAAACCTATGTCCTCTTGCAACACAGCATCGTTTGGCGTCACATTTCAGCACTGACTCAGAAGGAAGGACCACACCTACTTAATCACTGGTGTTTCCTTTGAGGTCACCTGTCCAAAAACTGGCTGTTTAACTCCTGTGATCTAGAAAGATCCCAACTAACTTCAGCTGACAGGGAACATTCTGAGTATAAGCCTATTGACCTTGCAGAAAAGTCCATTAAATATCCTCACTGGCACAAGAAAAGGCAAAAAATAAACCTCATTCTGTCCAGGATTAGCCTTTCACTTATGAAAAAATTGACCTCCATGCACTCATTCATTTCAACCTGATATATCACAAAATCTTTTCTTTGTGAAATCTGTAGTTAACAGAGACAGCTATACTGGCAGAAAATAGGAGCAAACAGGGCTGGAACACATCAGCAAAGAAGCATGGAGGCTTGAGTTTACAACTGTAGGGCTGAACAAGATCAAATTGACATATCTCAATTTCTGCTGGGCATGGGAATAAAATTCCAGGTAAGTGCCAACCTCAGGGAGAAACCACAGAGTTGTACATATCTCTGGGTGTCTCTCCAGTTAGGAATGATACGTGCATAAGCAATGCATTACAAACCTCTTCTGCAGCATGGTGGTTGACTTCACCATTTCCCTCTCCTAACAGCCAGTGCCACGTCAGTGCCATGCTGCAGAAGAGGTCAAAGTGTTTGGCAGCCAGTACTGGGACAATGGCAGGGGGACATGCCCATAGGATGGGCTGTGGGGGGCAATGAAGTGCCTTCTGCTCATCAGTAAGCAAGGAGAATCGGAAACACCATCTGCTACAGATAAACAGTCTCAAATCAGCTTGGCTAAAGAGACGTACCCAAGAGTCCTTAAAGAGCTGGTGCAGTAAATTGCTGGCCCACTGATATTAATTTATAATCTGTGCTGGAGCACTGGGGCAGGTCCCGAATACTGAAGCACTCTGCCAATAGTCAGCCAAGATACACAATGATGAGCCTCATAAATACACGCTAGTTTGATTGACATAAATTCCAGGCAAAATGATGGAAAATCTGATACAGACTTCAATTCATTAAGCACTGAAGAATAGGCGTAATATTAATCTTAGTTGAGGCACTTGTATATAAAACAGGTGCTTCCAAACTTGATTTTATTAGTTGCCATGATTCTAAATTTGCCTGATAAAGATGCCTGCATGGCTGTAACATAATATAATTAGATTTTGATAAGGTTTCACTTTCACAGGGTTCTGTGATATGAAGATATGTAATGTCAGTAGTACATACATTAAAATGGCTCAGCAGAAGCCTAGCTGGCAGGTCTCTGAAAAGAGCTCTTTGAGGAACACTGACGTTGAAGGAGGTATTTCTAATGGGTGTCTACAGAGGTCAGTATTAGATCCAATGTGTTTCCAGATAGTCTATACTTTAATAGAATCATAGAATCATTAAGGTTGAAAAAGACCTCAAGGATCATCAAGTCAAATATGAAATTATACAAGGGATGCAGAACACACCTGACAATGGGATGTTGTGTCCTAGAAAGCAATCACTCTGGAGAGCTACTGCCATTATCTGACATAAAACCAAACCAAATACCCCTCTGTGCATCAGTGGTAAGCAACAGGAATACTGTGCTCACCTCTGGGTTGGCATGAGGATGTCAGAAAAAGATGGTGCAGAATATATCCATTAGCAAGGAACTGAGGGCTGGAGAAAATGCCTTATGTGGGGAGGCTGAGAAGTCCGAGTCTGATTATTGTAACAACAACACCCACAAAAAGACTGAGAAGTTGACAACTGTGTGCAAGTATTGTTTCAGGCAGAAGCTGCTGGTGCTGAAGGGCTCTGTAATACAACAGAAAGCCACCACCAGAACTAATAGCTGGGAGCCACATGTCAAGCAACCTCAAATGGGATACAAAGACCACATTTTAAACAGGAGGTGATGGGTCATTGGAAGTGGTACCAAGGGAAGCAGTGGAGTTTCTGTCCCTCAGTAGCTCCAAATTCAGACCTGAAAGCTTATTTGGAAGGTATGCCTTAGGCAAATGCAAGTTAGTGGGCTCAATACTGAGGTAAGTGGGGGAAGTTTAAGGGGCCTACATTCACAGGAGATCAGCCCAAAGTAGTCCCTTCTGACATTAAAATTCATTAACACAAATAAATCACAGTTTCAATCTCCGTTCTTGTATTATTCCTCTTGCCTGGCTCTAGGCAGTACAAAGAGTCATGTTTACGAATATCACACAGGTTTTTTGGCTGCCTTGTAGGATCTAAGGCAAAAAGACATCCTGTAAAATTAACCCCCTTCCCTACTTAGTCTAAGCCAGCCATGCCTGGAGCCTGCACGGCCGAGGCATCCCCTGGCTGTGTCAGGCAGGGAGAAGGGGATGTCCCAAAAGCTAAGACAAGCTCATGTACTCCTAGTCTTGTTCAAGATTTATGCTGATCTTTCACAAGGAAAAATAGCCTCATACGATAACAGTTGGGACCAGCAGTATCTTTGAGGTTTGGTTTAGCTATGGAGAAAAAACCCAACATCCTCTTATCCCACAGAAGCCCAGAGGCAATGTCTTTTCCTTGTGAGCAGTGGTTAAACAAATCACAATAACAATGTTTTGGGTGTATTCTGCGAAAGTGTTGACTCCCTGCCAGTAAGAAACCCAACCTACTCCTCAGGGTGCTGTTTGCAATGTTGATCTCCATTTTTCATTCCCCTTAAGCTCGCCAAAGAGATCCAGCCCTAAGTCTGCACACGGCCATGGTTGGGATTCGCTATGCTGGGAATGCCTTTGATTAACATCCCGTTGTTACAGCACTGGTTCTGTGCTGCAATACTGACACGTGGTCTCTAGTGGCATGTCTAAGCACATGATAACGAGCAAACAGCTGCTTGAAGGAGCAGTTCTGGAAGGCAGTAAGTAGAGACTGGTCTGTCTGAGCAGACATGGATAACACAGAGGATGGAGACCTGGTCTGTCTAGCCAAGGTAACTGTGGAGGTCGTTCCTCTCATTCTAAACAAAGATCTAAAACAGATGATGTAGCACATACCTCAAAACTGATGACCTCTCTCCACTGACTGCCAGAGCAGAGGGAGGTGATTAGCTCAAGTGTGAATGTTGTCTCTACAGAAGTGTGAGTTCAGACCAGATGAGCTGTGCCCAAGGAGTACAAGGGGATAGTTCAGCACATGGGAGAACCAACCTGGAGCAGTGTGTGCTCACTGAGATGGGACCTGGTACAGAGGAAATATATTCAGCGATAAGGAAGTGCCTGAGCTGCACAACTGAGTAAAGGCAGAGTAAAGCCTGGATCAGACAGAGCACTGTCAGGAATGTCCCCTGTTTCAGCATGTTACTGATGGCCCCTGACTATGGCTGAATGGCTAAGCAGAGAGGTGGACCTGAGCAACATGTTGGGGATAAAGTCGGTGTCCCTACCACACATGTCATAAATAACACAGACTTCTGGAGATAACTTGATTTGACTGCTTTTTGAAAATAATCAAGGTAGCCTGGCTACTAGAAAAAAGTGAGCTACTGAAGCCATAGGAGCAACCAGGTCACTGATGACAAACTCCAGTTCAGCTGCAGTAGCCTTATCTTCCAGTAGAAAAAGTCACTTTGAAGAGAAGTTCTGCAGACACCTTGGTGGAGCGACTCCTGGGGTGACAGCTAAGAGAGGACTGCCCAAGCTCTAGTGGGGAGCACTGGGAGGGACTAATTCTTGCAGCACAGAGCCCTACACACAAACAGCAATGATCACGCTATGCTTTCTCCAAGGTCCATGCTACAAAAACACCTTCCAGCCCTGCAGATTACTTCCTTGCAAAACTCCATTTGTGCTTGCTGGGAGAACAGCTGGAGAGGGCAGCTGTTGAGGTGAGAAAAGAGGAGGAGGTAGAACAAGTTACGCAAGGTCATGGCTATGCCCCTGCATCAGAATAACTGACCTTGTGCAGAGTACCAGGCAGTCTGGAGGAACAAGAATCCAACCAAACTGCCACAAAAATCCCAGCCATCCTACCTTCTCTAACCAGCGACTGAGACAGAAACAAGGCGCTCTCCAATTCAGCCTGGGCCAGGAAGAACTCAGGAAAAGCTCTTGCCTTTCCAAAAAAGA